TCTGTAGTGACACATATTAAAAAGGCAGTTTCTAATCAGAATACATAGCATTTCCATATTACTATTATAATTCTACCGACTTACTTAACACATTGAAGAACACATTTCCAAATAAATAAATAAGTATAAGACCATTTCAAACAGAATTACAAACAAATTATATATGTATCATTGTTTTGGAAGAATGGGTAAAATAATCACAGGGAACAATATATTTCTGCAAATCTGCGACTTATAATTTGAAAATTGATCATGCACACTTAGCATTCATATTATGTGTCTTGTAGAAGAAGAAGAAGAATCTTTATTTTGCAAATTAACTCTCAAAAGAGTCATGTACAAGCATTCATAATATATACAATAACATGTATGCATAAGTAAATAACTAATTACATAGCAAGATGACGTGACTGCAAGTATTTCTTTTCTTTCATTATTATAATGGTTACCATTGATTATATATTTAATTTACAAGTTATTTACTTTTTGAGAGATTCTACATTCAAATATATAATAATAAGAAATACTTCGTGTATGTATTAGGCTTGCAATCACGGGAGAGACATTGTCAGCATCGATTACATAGTATACTTAAAATTCTCTTCCATACACTGGTCTTTGTATTACATTTACTAATCTAAGCTATATGGTCTTGATTTATTGCAATAGTAATATGGCACAAAATATTGAAATTATACAAACAAAACAAAACAAATGTTACTTCTAAACTATACTTTGAACACATATAATGCTTCAAACTTGATACAAGTAAGACCAGTGTATGATTTGAAACTTACAAATGTATAGCCTTTATAATCATCGTGTTACTTAATTAACCTATTATACATATAATACACAAAGAATTGCAATGTATCAATAATACATCTATATACAATTACATGACAGCTAATATTCGTAAATTACACATACAGAAGTACAATACAATGTGTCAATTAATTTCTATGTACGTTTGCATTGGACTAGATATCCGGTTCGCATAAAACATATATATAGAACTTTAAATTAAACATTTTTGTACCTTTACACGAGAATTGTTTGTATTTCCATATTACTATTATAATTCTACCGACTTACTTAACACATTGAAGAACACATTTCCAAATAAATAAATAAGTATAAGACCATTTCAAACAGAATTACAAACAAATTATATATGTATCATTGTTTTGGAAGAATAGGTAAAATAATCACAGGGAACAATATATTTCTGCAAATCTGCGACTTATAATTTGAAAATTGATCATGCACACTTAGCATTCATATTATGTGTCTTGTACGTTCTTGACGTCAGAATGGTGTATTTTTATAACGGCGACTGACGTGTATAAAAAATCTTGGGGTCTGCAAATGAAATGGTTTATTCATTATGTCTTCTTTTTAGATATTAATTTTCATTATGTGATTTCGTAACATCATTACATGCTTATAAATTTATGATTCTTAATTTTTTGCATAAATGTGATTTCTTACGAGTGTTCACCATAATTGAATGCATAATTCTGCTTTTTTAACTGCATTGTGGTTTGCCTTATGAAAATGTTTTTATTGTTGTTGCTTTTTTTCTGCTGGTAATTTCAAATGTTTTTTTTTAAATTCTTATAAAAAATTATATGGTCTTTAATGTTGTACACGATATAAGCATTGTGATAAGCAAACTAGAATTTATTTAAAACAACGACAAAAATGTTTCTGAATCTAGTTCGGACTATCATCTATATAAACTTTATTTTTTTATGTACGGTAAGCAAATTGTACTATAAAGAAAGTCTCGTGTCGTGTTACCTATTTAACGATAAACTTGTTTAATTTCATTTAAACGGAGGTTGCATACACTATATAATCAGTCAAAAGATATTTTATAGCTGGTTTTAATTTCACATATTTTGAATAATTTCGGTTAGAAATAAAGTAGACACTTTAATAGTTGATCAAGGTGTGTTTAAGTTGGTCGGATAAAATACTGTGGTAGGGTAAGTAGCTTATAAGTTGTCTTCTTGTTAATTTATATTGTTTTAACAAATTTGATGTCAGATTTGAGTAGTTTCGGTACTACTCCTTCTTTAACACGGTTTAAATATTTGTATAATTATGAAGTTAGTTTTTTAAAGAATACAGAGGTGGTCTTCTCACCACTTGCAAAAAGAACGTGTGTTAGATATGACATATAATTTAACCTATCAATAATTTATATCTTAAATGCAATCATAATGTTAATATTTCTACTTTTTTCGGACGTTTAATTGTGGTCTTTTGTCGTGTTTTTCATTTCTGTGTTTTGGAGGACCATTTTCATTTTATTTGAAATAATTTAATTTATTGACGATATTGGTAAGTTTCCGATGATGTAACATGTAAATTTGAATATAAATAAATAAATAAATAAATAAATAAATAAATAAATAAATAAATAAATAAATAAATAAATAAATAAAAGCTGTAACATGTCATTGTTGGGTGTCATTTTTGTACTTAAATCAGTTTGTCGGAACATATTGAAAACAAACCCCTTTTTGTCATTTTTTATTTGAAAAAAAAAATCACCAAAGCAGACTATATTTCGCGCGTAGGCACGATATTTAATTTAAAGATTACTTAAGATTTAAAGAAGTAGTTTTTTTACCATTAAACAGATAAAATCGTCGCTTATTTGTTTACCAAAGTCTTGTAAAAAAATGTTATATAACATTTACGGAGGTAGGAAAAGTTGGATATTGTTATAACATACTTGGTTTGCTGGTTTTCTAAGCTAACTCGGATTAAATCGAATATAGCAAGCAGTTTTAGTTTGACGGAGGCGCAATCACCAAATTTCATAACGTAATTTAGATTTGAATTGGCATTAAAATACGTGTTGTATCATAAGCTGTAAAGCTTTATAACTGATCCGTCTGAAGTACAGGATATAAGATTAACTAGAGTTGTCGTTCCACTTTTCTCACATGCACTTTGATTTAATTACCAATTTTATGTTTTGCTATTACATGTTCTGATGGCCTTGAGCTTTGACCTTTGATGAGATGTAGTAGCGTTGTTGGTTTTGAAGTAAATGACCACAAAAAGCTTAACTGAAAAGGTAAACCAAAAAGAATATATCTAATACCGAGGGAATCATAACACTAGCTACCATATTCTTCGGAAACGAGGCTAATAAAGGCAGTTTCTTAAATTTGACCCAAAGCGTTTTATTACTGGAACGCTAAGGGTAAATAACTGAGATACACAAGTCTTGTGATACACTTGTTTAAAACCTCCCAAATCTTGACAGTGGCGTTTAAACTTTCTCTCACTCAATAAAACCAGTTAGCTGACTTTTGGAAACTTGAACTTGAATCAATGTATCTGACTTTGCCTAAAATAAAAAAAAAATGGAATTCGGGATTTTAAATCTTTTAACTTTGTATCATCACCTAAAGTCGCTTTACAAACGGCCATGTTATTGATTGGCAAGTTTGCACTGCTGTATTAATTCTGTACAAATTAATAAAATATATTTACATTATTATTGTAATATCATGGCTCGGGTTATTTGATATTGTCATTTCATTTTGAGGTCAATTACGCACATCTTTGATATGAAAAATGTTGTTTATCCATGCAATAAATAGTGTTTATTATGGTAATATGGTTTTATAATACATTTATTATTAATGTAGGTGTGAAAAAGCAGTATTTTTCCAGTCTACTGAAAATATTTCACCTCGCGTTGTGTTACGCGCGACTGCGGAAATATTTAGGATGAAAATGTTTTCTACTATAGCAAAATCAGGACTGCAATAAATCACGCTGATCAAACAAATACTAATATATACAAGTTCTAATATTTAATGAAAATCCAATCTAAAACAGTTAATAGTTTTATGAGACAAAACGTTTAGCCAAAATTTGTTTTAGGAGACGCTGTTTTGCATACACAACCGTAATAAAATTGTCAAGTAGCTAGCATTCTGAATTAAATGAAAGAGTGACATTTTACAAATGAGTAAAGTAACATGCATTTATCTGAAAAACAAATATAGGCTACAGAAGAATGTAAATTAACCGCAGTGTTAAATTGATTTATCAACCCTTGATACTAGTATTGCATTAAAGTATCGTATTTGTAGGTAAGAACCATTTGACATATTATATAAGACAATTATTATCATTATATAATATATATTGTAATATCATTTGATGTAATGTATGAACAAAAACAGTTCAATGTTAGACACTTATGAACACTTAAAAACACATAATATTTGATGTGTTAAATATGAATAATCAGAACTTTATGTTATCAATGAGCATACAAAGGCTGATAATACAATGTGATCATTTTGGACAATTATTCCAATTTCCACAGCAATATATTTCAATGTAGATTTATGATAAATTGATTTGCTATGTTTATGTAAGTACATGTATATGTAACGTCGTTGGCACACGCCAATATTCTAATAATTATAGTTTTGTTAGAGTCAAATTAGGTAAGGCATGTTAATTCTCGTGTCATTCAGTAACAATGCTGTCTGAGCTGTTTTATGATCAAATGTTTTTAGAATTTTTGTTGTCTTTTCTGTTCTTTATCTTCTTTCACGTTTAACTTGCTAAACTTTGTAAAGGAATTGACCTATGTTACTTTCACACGGTATTTGACTTCATCCATAAGAATAAATGCCTACGTGGACTTTAATATAAATAGTTTGGAATTAGAATTTGATCTTGTTTTATATGTTAATCTCCCGTAAATAATCCCGTTATAACCAATTGTTTCCCCTCAATGTGCAGTTAAATTGCTTATGGTCAAATGGTCACAGCACCGTAAATAATGTCCGAGGAGTTTCGGATAAGTGACGCTTATGGGTGTTTTATCTAACTCGCTGACATACGCTCGTTCCTGTTTTTGCACACCTTGAATAATGTAATAAGCTTTATGTACGATTTTCACAGATCAATATATACGTTAACAGCATGAAGTATATACGCTTGACAAACCTCTATCCTGTTTGAAATACTTTGTGTATCGCTTAACATTTAAAGGAACGCTATTAAATATTTCGTAAAGGGAACTATGTGATGGAATTAAAGTAAACGTTTAAGCTGATTGTCTATGTTAAGGACGTGCCACACACGATATGACAATTTTTATCACGTAGCAAAACTGTGCATTTGCATTATGAAGGTTATTTCAACAGTTGAGTAAATACGATATCAAGCAAGACCTGTGGTTTTATCGTTTCAAGGTCTTATTGCAAACACTTGCAATATTTTTCTACAATATGTTCTTTTTCGGGGAAATCATATATTATTTCGCTGGAAGATGATTGTTGGAATTTGAAAACGTGGTGTCATCAGTAACTTGACTATAGCCAGTCACCAGTCATGTCGACGACTGTTATAATAGCATGGATACATTTCCGCGATATTGCAAACTGGATAATAAATGGGGTGGAGCGACATTGCAAGGTAACCAATCAGCTAAACCTGTTACTTTATAACATTTTTCTGACATAGTTAAATCAAATAGTCTATCATTACTGTACGCTTTTTGCTTTAGGAAGATGTTTGTGGTCTAAAGGTTTACATGGTTTGTAGGATCCATGAGGCAAATCCCCGCTATAATCATAAAGTTACAATTAGTATGAAATGTTTATTTTCTTGCATTGGTAAACAAATAAGTTGTCACTGCTAGAGTCGCTATACCTTGCACTGTAACTATTTTAAGACAATACTCTATGAAGGTCGTTGGAAGGATGTATTACCCGTAGTGACCAAACAAATGTCTATTAAAGCATTGTAAATTAAATCATAAATGTTTTCACTTTTTTGCTAAAATCAGGTTAAATATGATTATTATAATTAAGACTGTTTCATTTCTGCTTCTTAGATTAATCTTTTGTTTTAATAGTAACATAATTAATTGACCTTCAATGCAGTATTTAGCAAAGACTATTTCAGGATTACTTCAATTATTCAATTAACTTGAAGTTATAAAAAAACCAACATTAATAAATCTATACTCGTATTTGTATTTGTTATTCAAGTAATGATTAAGTAAGCTAGTTTACTTCAAACAGGATTTGTAGCGTTACTTCAATTATGGCGTACAGAAAATAAAGATAACGAAAGAATATGTAAATTGGGTAGACATGCAAACAAGGAAAATGAAGTTAATGGTCGAATTTACAATGGATAATACAAGGTTGAAAACATCAAGATACCATTTTATAGCTACATTGTAGTATGTTGTCGAAACTAAATAAAGAATATGGTGGTGATTAAAACAAATTCATGATAATAACACGTTACCTCAATAATATATAAATGTTTAACCTCTCTGACCATTTTTTTCAACACAAAAAAATTGCATCGACCAAATGCTTAAATGGTTAAATTAGTTTTGCTAATGTTTGTTGTTCATGATTTTGTTGTTGTTATAAGGACAATGTACAATCACATTAGAAATTACTTTATAGTGTTGAAATATTAAACTTTGTTTCTTCCATTCTCCATCTGTTTTATATATTAACCCATTCCATTGCTTGAAATTACTTAGTCATCACGATATATATATAAGTTATTTTTTCTTCATGAAAAATAAAATTTAATCCATAGAAATATTTGAGAGCTCTCATCCCAAATAAGGTTTTAAGCCTTCTTCAGTGAATACGGTATACGGTAGTTTATAACTCGATGAGTGGTTTTTGCCATTCAGTGTTTACCATCATCTTATATTCAGCTCTTTCAAAAGCGCACACAAGCATGCATGCGAGACGGTAAACGGTAAAAGGGACCGAGTAAGAGTACACTTTGCATATTTAGCCCCGCCTTTAAATAAAGCACGAATTTCTTATAAAGCGTTATCATCATGATTAAAATAGACTATAAATCTGTGGAAATTATCAGTGTTACTGTATGTAAGTGCATATGCTTAATCCCCCTAATAAATTTATGCATATGTCTAGAAAATGGAAACAGGCTTTAAACTTCAGGACATACAACTGTAGAATAATGGTTTTTCATTCATATGCCTAATAATTTAATCAGCAGATGAACCTATGTTAGGATATCAAGTAAGATTATTATAGGATCATCTGAATGCACTTGTACACAATGTATACTTATGTTCATTAAAGATATATGAGTAATCACATTATAAGAGGACCAAGAGATCATCTGCATGAACATATACTAGTTTTTATAGAAGATGCATGAGAGGTTAATGTAGGATGAGCAGGGAATCATCTAGATGTAAATATACATTAGTAGTGATGGAATATATATGAAGAAGGGTCATCTGGTCTTTAAGGTGTATAAACACTGTAGTTCTAAAAGAACATATGTGAGGGAAATACATATAAACATTTTTATTATGGAAAAGATATAGGGGTAACTCGTAAGATGCCCAGGGGATTATCTAGATGTACATATACTATAGTTTTCATGGAACAGAAATAAGGGGATCACGTAAGATTACAAGATCATCTGGATGTACATAAACTTTTTTTCATTACATATCAGATGTAAGGGGATCAAATAAAATGACAAAGGGATCATCTAGATGTACATATACTATAGTTTTCATTGAACAGAAATAAGGGGATCACGTAAGATGACCAGGTGACATTTAGATGTATATACTCCTTTTCATTCTGGAACATATATGAGGGGATCAAATAAATGACAAGGGGATCATCTATATGTACATAAACTCTTTTTTTTTATTATGGAACAGATGTAAGGAGATCATGTAAGAATACAAAGGGAATATCTAGATGTACATATACTATAGTATTCATTGAAAATAAATAAAGGTATCACGTAAGATGATAAGGGGATCACGTAGATGACAAGGGGATCATGTAGATGTACATTTAATATAGTTTTAATTGAACAGAAAGAAATAAGGGGCTCACTTACGATGACCAGGAGATCATATAGATGTACATACTCTTTTTCATTATGGAACAGCTATGAGGGTATTTCGTAAAATGACAAGGGGATCATGTAGATGTACATATACTATAGACTTCATTGAACAGAAATAAAGGGATCACATAAGATGACAATGGTATCATCTAGATGTACATATACTATAGTATTCATTGAAAAGAAATAAAGGGATCACGTAAGATGACAATGGTATCATCTAGATGTACATATATTATAGTATTCATTGAACAGAAATAAGGGGATCACGTAAGGTGAGAAGGGGATCATCTAGATGTAAATATACTATAGTATTCATTGAAAAGAAATAAGGGGATCACGTAAGGTGACAAGGGGATCATCTACATGTACATATATTACCAGGACATCATATAGATGTACATACTCTTTTTCATTATGGAACATATATGAGGGGATCGCTTAAATGACAAGGGGATCATGTAGATGTACATATACTATAGACTTCATTGAACAGAAATAAAGGGATCACGTAAGATGACAATGGTATCATCTAGATGTACATATACAATAGTATTCATTGAAAAGAAATAAAGGGATCACGTGAGATGACAATGGTATCATCTACATGTACATATACTATAATATTCATTGAACAGAAATAAGGGGATCACGTAAGGTGACAAGGGGATCATCTAGATGTACATATACTATAGTATTCATTGAAAAGAAATAAGGGGATCACGTAAGGTGACAAGGGGATCATCTACATGTACATATACTACCAGGAGATCATATAGATGTACATACTCTTTTTCATTATGGAACATATATGAGGGGATCGCGTAAAATGACAAGGGGATCATGTAGATGTACATATACTATAGACTTCATTGAACAGAAATAAAGGGATCACGTAAGATGACAATGGTATCATCTAGATGTACATATACTATAGTATTCATTGAACAGAAATAAGGGGATCACGTAAGGTGACAAGGGGATCATCTAGATGTACATATACTATAGTATTCATTGAACAGAAATGAGGGGATCACGTAAGGTGACAAGGGGATCATCTAGATGTACATATACTATAGTATTCATTGAACAGAAATAAGGGGATCACGTAAGGTGACAAGGGGATCATCTAGATGTACATATACTATAGTATTCATTGAACAGAAATAAGGGGATCACGTAAGATGACAATAGTATCATCTAGATGTACATATACAATAGTATTCATTGAACAGAAATAAGGGGATCACGTAAGGTGACAAGGGTATCATCTAGATGTACATATACTATAGTATTCATTGAAAAGAAATAAGGGGATCACTTATGATGACCAGCGGATCATATAGATGAACACATACTTTAGTTTTCATTAAACAGAAAGAAATAAGGAGATCAGATAAGACGACAAGGGGATCATCTATGTGTACATACTCTTTTTCATTCTGAAACAGATATGAGGGGATCGCGTAAAATGACAAGGGGATCATGTAGATGTACATATTCTATTTTTTATTATGGAACAGATACATTTAATAAAGGGATCACGTTAGATGACAAGGGTATCATCTAGATGTACATATACTATAGTATTCATTGAACAGAAATAAGGGGATCACGTAAGGTGACAAGGGAATCATCTAGATCTATATATACTATAGTATTCATTGAAAAGAAATAAGGGGATCACGTAAGGTGACAAGGGGATCATCTACATGTACATATACTACCAGGAGATCATATAGAGGTATATACTCTTTTTCATTATGGAACATATATGAGGGGATCGCGTAAAATGACAAGGGGATCACGTAGATGTACATATACTATAGACTTCATTGAACAGACATAAAGGGATCACGTAATCACGTAAGATGACAATGGTATCATCTAGATGTACATATACTATAGTATTCATTAAAAAGAAATGAGGGGATCACGTAAGGTGACAAGGGGATCATCTAGATTTACATATACTATAGTATTCATTGAACAGAAATAAGGGGATCACGTAAGGTGACAAGGGGATCATCTAGATGTACATATACTATAGTATTCATTGAAAAGAAATAAGGGGATCACGTAAGGTGACAAGGGAATCATCTACATATACATATACTATAGTATTCATTGAACAGAAATAAGGGGATCACGTAAGATGACAAGGGGATCATCTAGATGTACATATACGAAGGTTGTTCGAAAAGTAATAGGACTGAGAGTCTTGCATATTCATATTCCATCCAATTTAAAATACTTTCATATGTATAGGGATCGTAAAATGTTTTTCTACAATGTATGCATAAGTTTATTTCATTTATTGTGATAAAAGCGCGTTTCCTGTGATATTGAATAACCATGGTAACACGCACCGGCGCAGCACATAAAAATAGTTATTGAAGCTATGTTGTACTTCTTATTAATTCATATATAATTATACTCCGTTTGTCCATATATTCCACCAACAAATTTTTTCTTATCTAAGTGACATTATATATCTAAATTTGACGTCATTCAGGCATGAAATGGCATAATTATTT